CAACAGCTCCAGATGTTACAGTGCCAGTTCCAGCTCCAGTTGTGCCTCCCGTTCCAAAACCTTGGCTGGGGATGAAATAGGCACTTCGTTCCCCGCCTCCTCCTGCCGCAGCTACAGTGCCAGTTCTACTTGCTACAGCACCAACTCCGGCTTTAGCTGCTATGGCTCCACCTCTACCTCCAGCTTCAAAACCTTGACCCGGCATGAAATAAGCATTTTTCTGTCCCCTTCCCCCTCCACCACCTGTACTTTCAGTTTCCCAAGCTCCTCGTCTGCTAGCTATGTAACCCATATTTCCGGTTCCCGAACTATCTTCACTACCTTTTCCTGCACCAACCATTTCTTCTGTCCCCGTCAGAATACCAGTCTCCTCTGAACTGCAAACAGTCGCTTTGATGCCAGATTCAGTAGTACTAGCTTTTGTTTGAGTTTCTACTGCGCTTTCCTTACTTTCTGCAAAAAACCAACTTATTTTTAAAAATTACTGATGTTTCATTTGTTCCAAATCTTTTTTACCTTATAAATATGTTGCAATGATAATTGATATATGCAATTAATGTGACAAATAATTTACAGTTCTCAGCGATATATTTGTGATATTGGATTGCAGGAAAAACTACATTTCCACTGGTGCTACCAGCAGCATCTTTTATCAGTAGTAGCAGTACTGTATGTAATGGAAAAATCTCTTTGGTCATATCTCCAAGGAGGAAAATATTTGGGCCAACTACCTATTTGACACATTTGAGAATTCTGTCACCTTAATATGATTTAGTTGAACGACAAGAATAGATCCTTTCTTTCCTTATTGTTTTTTCCTTTTAAATTGTCAACGCTGATTAATTTAAGGCTTACCAAAAGTAGTTTATATCTAGCGGAAAATTTTCTCTCAGGACAATATCTAGATAATTCCGGAAAAAAATGCTTTTTAAACATAAATTAGTCTAGTATTAAAATTTTCGAATCCTTTCTGCCTTGTCGAACCCATTAACCCAATAACATTTTTGAACATTTTTATTGATATATTAATTGTACGACAAAATCTAGTTTGCTATTTTGCGGTATTTTGCAAAACTAATTTGACTTTATGGAGTATAGTATGTTATTTCAATAAATCTCCAAATTTATGAAACATCTCTTTTTCACAAATCAAACACCATCTTTCAAAAAAATGTAAAATGGAGTTTTCATTAAGATACCAAATTTCCGAACCTTTCTATGATTTACTATTCATTTTGGTACATCAAGACCAGTGCAAACAAAGAGAGACTAGTATTTAATTTTAGACTAGTACTCGGTTACTGTTACTTTTATAGCCTGAATTCCAAGCACAACTTCCTGTTTTTGTTACAATTTATCTTATTGTCATGAAGAACCAGCCAGAACAGATTTGAATCATTTTAAAATTTACTTTAACTTTTAAAATGAACTTGAGAAACGGACGATTAACTTATCATGCACTACTGATATTAACTAGTTAAAAATTCAATTCCGAAAAGGAGAAGCAAATGAATATTAATAAGTATTATAAGAATATTAATAAGATTAATATTAATAAGGGAAACGGATGAATATTAATAAGCTTAACACCTTGGTTGATATCCTTATTTTCGATTCCGATCTCAACTTCATCTTTTTCATCATCGTCTTTAAGCTCGTACTTATCTCGATCATCCATTGTTGCGGATTTCATTTCCATCTTTTCATCGTCATCCAGTTTTGCTTTCTTATCTTGATCATCCGCTGCTGCCGATTTTATTTCCATCTTTTCTTCTTTGGCTGATTTTATTTTGACCATTGGCATTGCTTCATGAGGTTTACCAACTCTAAATGGCGGACGCTTCCGAACTTTTTTCATGAAATTTTTCAGAGTTTTTGAAACTTAAAATCTAAGTTTTCAAAGTTCAAAACTTTTTCCAATTTAAGTTTGTTCATTTTTCTTGGAATTCACTCTTTTCATATTCGCATCCTTCAAATCTACTACAGTGCATATGATAAAATAATTGTTAAAGCAGAAGTGTACTTTGAATTACCTTTAATTAGGATTATTGTTTATGCCTTAACTAATAATTATATAATTAATAAAACTTAATTAACAGTTAGTACAAAAAGCAAAAGCACCAAGTATACATATACATGAGTCCTCTTGCCATAAATATATATTATTTCGACTCTTACTTGTCTGATTTCTGAAAAAGGAAAAATTTATTTCTTTAAAAATGAAAGATATTCAAAAATTCAGCATTTTACAATTCCTTTTGAACACTTTCACTTCTAATCTTTAGCTAATCTCTTAAATGACTTCTTTAGCTCAGTTCATAGATATAATTTGACAATGAATAAAACCCAAAATCTATTTTGATCTTCATATTTGGAAATTAGGTAAAGAGGATTTTGTTATCAGAATTAACTTGGCCAAGAAATATTATAAGTTCAAAAATGATTGAAGCAGTGATCCCAACAACTTGTTAAGTAAAATATATGTAATGAATTCCTGAAAGAACTAACTTTCTTTGGTGTCGGTATTTTACTTCTTCCTATAATTAAATCATATTGAAAATATTTCTAATCGGGGAGAACAAAAGATTGAATTTTGAAAATTATATGAAAAAGAAGATCATACTTCACTCAAAAAGCTTGTAAAACGAATTTCTTTTTCCGATCTTTTCTTCAAATGTACGGAAAAAAGAATTTGCCATTTCAAAAAAAGAGAATTACTTTTTTCTTTCTACCTCCACTTCCCACTTGAATTTTCTGAAATTATGATAATTTTTTGCCAAATAATTTATCATAATATATTGTACGATGAAACTAATTAAGTAATTTTACTTCATTCCTTTTTTTATAATTTAAAATCAGGAAAGTCAAAATATCACCAGATAAGTTATCGGTTCACTAGAATTATATTAGCATCCAAAAAGAATACAATTTTGTAGACCGGATACGGTTAAACGCTATCATTCTATAGGAAGCCTATGATGTTCAACTTGATCATATATTTTAATTGCTCACTAACAATGGCTGTATAAAGATTGACAGTGTGCAGTTTGATTAAATTTTAAAAATTCATGGAGATGAAACTTACATAACGCTCATCGAAATAGCTGTAGTAGGGATTGTAAGCATCCACTATTTTGTTATGCTTAAAAAAAAACACTATTCATCTTTCCCGTTTAACTTTTTTGTTAGATTGATTGCATAGAAAACTTTAGTTTAAATGGAAATTAATTAAACTTAATTAATGCAACCAACCTCCGTATTCTTCATACTTTTCCGAAACACAGCAACTTCTGAATAGATTCAGAATTTCTCGATATAATATTACAGAAAATGTTATTCAAAACTTATAAAATTGTTCAGACATATAGAAATCAATTGTGATGGAACGTTTTTGCAGTTTAATTGAAATTTAATTTGTTATTCATTCTTAATTACAAATCATTTCAAACAACTTTTATGAGTGAATATAATCAAAACTGGAATAATAGCAAATTTGTAAATTCGAAGAGTTTTACCTTGCTTGCGAGACTCACCGCTAGATCCCTAAATTAAAATTCGATTCAAATTAAAAATTTGCTTTTATTGTGACATCAGTATTTTATACAAATTCATGGATATTTGGTTCATTTATTTGTACTTATATTAACCTTTTATCAAAATGAAATACTTCCACATGTCTACCAATCACTTGAACAAGAGATTATCAATAATTAATCAATTAACTTCTCAACAATTTCAGTCTACTTTTTGTTATGGTCTGAATTAGTTAGTACCTTGCACTTATTCCCATAATACGTTGTTGAAAGATATACTACAAAAATTTGAACAAATTAAATGACATTGGCAAGAATACTTCAAACTAAACTTTGGAAAAATTATATAACAAACAAATTTGAAATGTATTATCACTCTCAACATTATTTTACCTTCTGAATTTTTGTAAAAAGCTGTGGCACTACAATAATTTCATGAAATATTTGTTGACTACAGTAATACAAGTTACGTCTATTAATCATCCTACGAAACCGCAAAGTATACCATAATTGATTGTTACTGATTCGTTATTATTCAGTTGAATTTTTACGGGCAGAGATAAATTTAAAAACGCCCGTCTGCTAGTAAGTGATACAGAACAATGCAATACGACGAAACATTTGTCATATTTTATTCTTATCCAACAATGTTTACATTTATCGTACAAAAAAAAA